ACGCTTTTATAACTGAACGACGTCTGATTTCGACATTGCTACGAACATGGGGGTTGTCTTGCAATGAGGCACGGCCATGACCTGATTTAGGTTCCACAGAAACACACGCAGAAATGTTTTGTTTTTCAAACACCGAAATTCTCTGTAAACGAGACGCTGTGAACGACTGCAGAACAGGCGCTTGTAGCAAAGGAAGTGCAGGCTGAGAAGCACCGCGGGCGAACGTGAATGAATCCGTTGGGCAACGTGAGTACAGACCGAAACTCTGTGCAGGCACTCTCAAGGGAGCCAGGGCAGGCTGAGGAGGAATGCAGGCCGCAAACACTATTCGTGCACCAGACGCCACAACAGTAAATAGTGCAGGCTGAGAAGCACCGCATAAACAACGAAACTACCAAACGATATGTTTGAGGCAAACGTAGTTGGCATCCCGCAAGGCGCAAGACAAAGATGCTTGCCATGTCCAGCAAGCTGAGAAGCATCGCTGACAAGACAGGAGAAACCTCACCTCAAGCTTTCTCCTGAGGGGTGGCTTTCAAGAATGCGGCACTTCTTGGCGGATTCCGGCGTCGTGCTCCACTCATTCATCCGCTTATGCTCGCCTGATTGCTGAAGCTCTGTGCGCATACCCAGTGTTCTCAATTTTTTAATGAAGTACTGCGCCTCAGACACGACGGAGTCGTCAATGTGGGTCACGCTGTGCACCGTCATGCCGTCTTTTGAACAGCCAGTAATGAGCAACAAGCAGACTCTGTGCTTCGCTCGGTTGGGCGGATCCATTTTGAACGAGAGCAAGTTGTCAACTGAGCAGTGTCCGTGAATCGTCACTGGTTGGGAAGACTCTCCGTCAGAAGCGTCCGTGACACCTGGTGTGGACACGACGAAGCCAGCCGCAGTGGATACGCACCGAGACTTCTGCGTGGTACGAACGAGAACGACTGCCAAGTGGCAGTTCCGGGTAAGCTGAGAAGCGTCACCCCCTCCACCCGCTGGCGAGTACTGCACGCGCATGCCGTAGAAGGGGCAAGACCGTATCTCAGAGAGCTGTGCCGCGAGCATTGCATCCTGGCTCTCGCGGCACTGCTTCAGGATCTCCAAGACGACATTGTAAGACGTATTCGGGGCGTGCGATATCTGAAGCGGTGAAACGGCCACCACAGTCGTGTTGACGAAAGTCCGTTGAGGTGTGTCATCCTGTGCATTCGCAGCCACATTGCGCACGCGTCGTATGATGCGACAATTGCTCAGTGGAGGGAAGGAGATAGCTTTCTCGTCGTGAACTTTTTTGAATTCTTGCATGCTATCAATGCCAGTCAAGGCGAAGGCTGCCGCTTGTGATACGCCGACTTTGCACGAGCCACTGAAATCACGAGCAGTAGTCGTAAAGAACACGCGCTCGCCTGTGTTCTCCACCACAGAGTCGGCTGGCTCCGGTTCCTCAAGCCTCATCCCATTGACCTGCAACAAGAGTGGCAAGTTTGCATTCGGATCATCCGACGCCATAGCCAAAAAGGCACAGCAGGAGAGGAGTGCTTCTCCGGTGAGAATCTGCGAAGCCTGGTCTGGATCCCAAGTACCCGCATGAGCGGTGGTCAGCTGCTCCCGGTCCATCGCGAAGTCTTGAGTGGCTGCTAAGTCGTGTAGTTGAGTCATTCTGGGACAAGAGCATGCGGAATCCACCACGCGATCTTGCGACAAGTTCAGCTCCAGTTTGCCGTCGAATTTGCCCGCCACGTTGAGAAACAGCAGCGGTTGTCCTTTGTGAGAGCGACAAAGCTCTATGTTGGTGGATCCCCAGACTGCAATCACAGCCTCCGCTGTCTTGGAGTTACTCGTCTGTGTGCCGTCGACCAGATGTACACTTGCCACTGGAGGGTGGCCAGCGGGAGTGCGGGTTTCTGAAACAGAATGAACCACAGCCATGACATCGAAGCAACGCTGCGATTTGATGTTCATCATGTCTGCCACTGTAGTCGCTGGAGCCGGCGCCGATGCCAAGGAGGTCTCCTCCGGAGAGCTTTTGAGCACTGGACTGCAGGTTGTGCGCTTGAGGTCGACCACGACACGAACAGACGTATGCACAAAAGCGTCCTGCTGCCGACTGTCCAGGCCGACGCTGGAGAGTTTCCACGCCGTCATCGGAGGGAACTTTTTCAGAGCAGCTTGGACTTCTGCTGGAGTTCCTTTGAGGATGGCCTCACAATAGTGCTCTGAGTCTGTGCCAAGCAGAATGCATGTGAATCGGTTTGCATGGACTAGCTGGCCATTGTTCCTGCTCTTGTACGAGTACTTGATCTCCCTGGGCTTGTATACTCGGACAAGGAAGTCTTGGGTTTTGGCGCTGCTCTTCGTGAGAAAACCCAGTGGAGACGTCGGCTGTTCTGCAGCAGCAGCCATGGTAGCTCACCCGGAGGATCACCGTGGAGCGCACAGTGACACAGGCTGAGAAGCACCGTGCACGGCACGGTGAGACTGGTTGAGCGGATGCGGACAAGGCTCGCTTTTGCCTCGAACTCCTGCAATCAAAGTTCTTTGAACCAGAACGGCAATGATTACAGAATTGCAAAGTTACAAGTGATGCCTCCACGAAGCACCCCCCCTGTGGAGTCGAGAAAGCGTGTTGCTGTATGCGTGCGTGACTCGATGGATGTGATGTGTGTGCTGTGTGGCCCCGCCCCAAGAAATGTTTCGGCCTCTCAAGGCCCCCCCCGCTCCACGAATCCCATTGGGGGTTCGAGATCCCCGCTCTGGTGGGCGGAGACGCCAAAGGCTTCGAAAACCGCTAGGGAGGGAAGGATAAGGGAGAAGAAAAGGACGGAGAGGGAGGGCTCGGAGGCCCTTGGAGGGGGGGATGTGCCCATCCGAGGGAACGGTGCACCCCCCCCTCCCCGTCGTGAAAACGAGGCACCAGCCGTGGCAACGACCCCCCCCCTATCCCCCTCCGCGACCTGAGTAGACCACCCAGGCCAGCGGAGGACGTCATAGGGGGCGGGGGTTCTGACTTCGATGAAAGAAGAGAAGGAAAGAGGGGGGGGGATCAGGCAGACGAAAGCCCTTTTAGGCTTTACCCGGCGTGTGGAAATGCCCTCTTTGGCTTTTGCGGGGACTAACCCGCGCGGTCGCCCGCAGGCGACAGGGCGCCCAGGCCCTCTCCGCGCGCGCAGGCGCGTGGCAAACTACATGCGCACGATCGCCCGTGGAATCGAATGGAACCGTCCGCGGCGAGTCGTCCGCGGCGACTCAGGACCACGCCGCCCTGGAAGAAGAGGCGCTACAAGGATGCATTCTGCGACGCTGGAGATCCTGATGCGACGAGGACGCTGCAGAGAAACATTCTGCGCGCGTACGCACGACCTGGAACGACAAGCACAATACGGGAACAAATTCGGTGACGCTGGAGTCCCCGATGAGACGAAGAAGCAGCAGAGACACGTCTCAAGGCGCAGCAACACCGAAGTGACGCAAACGCACCCCGCGACACGACAAGGACGCTGCAAGAAGAAACTCGGCGACGCAGGAGTGCGTGGAAGCTACAAAGGCATGGAAAGGAAGCTACGAGGAAACTACAAAGTATTCAAAGCGTCTCGAGCTTAGGGAGCCTTCCTCAGAGCCCTTGTGCGCACGACTCGGGGCAGCCGGCCGCCCTCCCCTCCTGTTCGTCCTCCTCCTCCTCCTCCTGCTCGTCCTCGTCCCCCTCCTGCTCGTCTTCTTTCTCCTGCTCCTCCTCCTCCTCCTCCTCCTCCTCTTTCTCCTGCTCCTCCTCCTCCTCCTCCTCCTCCTCCTCCTTCCTCTGCTCGTCCTCGTCCTCTCGTCGTCCTCGTCTTGCTCGTCCTCCTCCTCCTGGTGCTCTCTCCTCCTCCTCCTCCTCCTCCTCCTCCTCCTCCTCCTCCTCCTCCTCCTCTCCTCCTGGTGGTCCTCGTTCTCCTCCTCCTGGTGCTCTCCCCCCCCCCTCCCCTCCATCGTCCTCCTCCTCCTCCTCCTCGTCCTCCTCCTCCTCTTCCTCCTCTCCTCCTCCTCCTCCTCCTCGTCCTCCACCTCCTCTTCCCTCCTCCCCTCCTCTCCTCCTCCGTGAGTCCTCCTCCTCCCTCCTCCTCCTCCTCCTCCTCCTCTTCCTGGTTTCTTCCTGGTCGCCCTCGTTCTCGTCTCCTCGTCTTGCTCGTCCTCCTCCTCGTGGTGTTTCTCTCCTCCTCCTCCTCCTCCTCCTGCCTCCTCCTCCTCCTCCTCCTGGTGTTCCTCGTTCTCCTCCTCCCTGGTGCTCTCCACCCCCCCTCCTCCTCCTCCTCCTCCTCCTCCTCTCCTCCTCCTCCTCCTCCTCCTGCCTCCTCCTCCGCCTCCTCTCTCGTCTCATCCTCCTCCTCCTCCTCTTCATCCTACCTCCCCCTCCTCCCCTCCTACCTCCTCCTCCTCCTCCTCCTCCTCCTCGTGGTGTTCTCTCCTCCTCCTCCTCCTCCTCCTCCCCTCCTCCTCCTCCTCCTCCTCCTCCTCCTGGTGTTCCCTGGGGCGTTTCTCCTTCCTCCTGGTGCTCTCCCCCCCCCCCTCCTCCTCCTCTTCCTACTCCTCCTCCTCCTCCGCCTCGTCCCTCCTCCTCCTCTTCCTCCTCCTCCTCCTCCTCCTCCTCGTCCTCCTCCTCCTGGTAGTCCTCCCCCTCCCCTCCTCCTCCTCCTCCTCCTCCTCCTCCTCCTCCTCGTCCTCGCCCGTAGCCATTTTGGCTCAAGTCGCAATCTGCGGTATCCCCGCCCCTCGAGGGGCAACAGCGCCGACTTCTGACAAGCCTGCTCCCGACGCTGCACCATACAGCGACCCGCAGGCTTCTTTGATTTTGGCCAACATTACGCACCTTTCCCCTCATCCCTGCAGACAGCCGCCATGGGCAAGGGTTCTTACGCTTGTTGCTCTAAGCGTGGCTGCCGTGGTTGGGAATGGCTTCCCAAGAAGTGGTGCTCCCAGTGCGGGTCCAGCCTCAAGGAAGGTTCCATGGGCGGCAAGGCTGACGGCGACGCCTTCCGCCCGAGAGGCCCGCGCAGAGCAAGTTCCCGTCCACCGCCTCAGACTACCGCAGCTGAGGAAGCAGAAGAGTCTCCCAAGGCCCAGGACAGCCCGCCTGACCCTGTGGCTCTGGCGCAGGCCCAGGTGGCCTTCTGGCGCAAGTGGGTGGGAGTCGACAAGAAAGAATATCACGACGCAGTTGAGTACCTCAAGCAAGCGAAGATGCAAGCGCTCAGGGGCAAGAGTCTGGATCAGCAGACTCAGTCGCTCACGGGCCAAATCAATGTCATCAAGAGCAAGCTCGTCACCTACGAGTCCGAGCTCGACGAGCTGGCGTCCACGATCGAGAAGTTGGCCGAGGAATACAAGTCGAAGCTGCACGACCAGACCGAAGCTCGCCAAGAGCTCCAGATGTTGGAAGCACAGCGAGCAGTGGCAGCGTCTGCAGCAGCACAAGAGGTGGCAGCAGATTCTAATGTTCAAGGCCTGCTCAGTGCCGCCCTCCAGTCCAAGATCCCAGAGGGCGGCTGCATCCCGCCCGCGCTCACCGCCAAGGTGCAGGAGGTCGCCGAGCTGTTCGACCAGTTGCAGCAGCAGCACCTGGCAGCAGTGGGGGCGCAGGCGGGAGGCGAAAGCGGCGGCATCGGGGGCCCACCGCCAGCGCCAAGCGCGGGAGCGGCAGGCCTGGGCGGCTCGCCATGGCCAGGGCCCCCCTCCGCCGCCGCAGCCTGCGGAGTGCCCCCCGCGGAGCGTGACGCAGCCGAGGCGATGTCGGTCGGCAGCGGAGAAGAAGCGGCAGCTCGGGACCTCCATGACGTCGAGATGCCCCACATGTTTGCAGGCCACCGGCGCACAGCAGACAGCCTCTCGCAGCTCACCGAGATCATGGTCTCCCACGGCAACGACGACGAGAGGGCCAAGAAGGTACGTGGAGCGGCGGCAGTGGTGCAGGCCGCGACCTCAGGGACGTCGACGCCGTCTCTTTAACAAACTCGGCATCGTCACTTTCAACGGGAGCTGCTGGCCCACGCTCAAGCAGTTCATCAAATCCCGTGCTGCCAGTGACTGTTCTTTGATTTGTGTCCAGGAACACAAGCTCAGAGATGGGGATGTCATTGCTCAGCAAGTCCAGTGGTGCCAATCAATGGGGTGGTTGGCGCATATATCACCAGCAGCACTCAATGACAATCAGCAGATTGTAAGTGGTGTTGCCATTCTAGTCAGAGCCAACCTCGACATTGGCATATCCAACATGAGTTTCAGGAGTACAGTGGACCGCAGTCGTCTTACTGGACTACTTCTGGAGCTCCCTGGCCTACCTCGGCTAGGGCTTATGTGCGCATATTTTAAAGCAGCTGGCGGGCTTGGAGAAGTCAACCTAGGCCTGCTAGCAGACATCGCCGTCCAGCAAGATCAGGAGAGGGTCCCGATCATTGTGGCTGGGGATTTCAACCTCTCGCCGTCCAGAATCGAGAGCCTCGATTACCTCCACAGGGCCTCCCTCCAAGTGGTTGCCCCATCGAGCCCTACCTTCCGTGTGAAGAAAACTCAATCGGTTCTGGATTATTTCATCATCAGTAAGACGCTCAGCGAATATGTCGACAAGGCCCGCACGTGGGCCAACTATCCGATGTCTCCTCACAGGCCAGTGTGTCTCGACCTCTCGGACTCCGACAGTTTCATGATCCCAGTATTGGTTCGGCCGCAGAGGCTACCGACTACTCGGCCGTTCGGGCCACAGCCTCAACAGCAGGCCTGGACCCAGAGTGCATGCGCACTAGACTACGCAGATCAATTATTAGCTGATGCCGCCAAGCCTCTCAGCCAGAAGCAAAAGCAAGCAGTACTTGACGTCGTCTATTTCACGATCGTCAAAGATTTGGAGCAGACAGTCAGCAGAGCAACGGACACACCGCTGAAGCATTCCTCTACTCCAAGAGCCAGCCCCCCTACCATCAAATGGGTAAGAGCTAAGCACAAAGACGCCAAAGCTAGAGCAAGCTGGAAATCCCTTGAGGCTCCTCTACGCTGGCTTCGCAATAGGCTAACGGACATCAATTACAGCATCCATCATCAAGATCATCAGCAGCTAGTCTTTGTCGTCGCAGGGCTGCAAGACGCTCCTGACGAGTTTCAAGAGGTCGAGAGCCTCAAGCAGGGGCTCGGCGCTTCCCAGCGGCTCGGCGAGCTGCTGATCTCCGACAGTGCAGCAGGTACGCTAGCAATGGGCACAGCCGACGACGCCATCGGGACCCTGATTGAGGACTTGGACAAGTCCATCGATTCGGAGAGGAGCAAAAGCAATCTGGCGGCCTCTAAGGCCTGGGCTTCCTGGGTGCAGACCTCACTACAAGGCGGCGTTGGCTGGGCGCATCGCTGGTCGCGCAATCTCGAGGCTTGGAAGCCCGCGTCTACTTTCCACCGCGGCCAGTGGTCAGGCAGGCCGTCGAGAATTCTGGAGGGGGAAGCCGAACGACTTGCCAGTATTTGGGACACGCAAACGAGGACCCAACCCAACCCTGTTCCTGGTCATATCGACGATCGTGTCGCTCTGGGCCTTCTCACAGGCGAAACGGTGCAAGCAGCCGCCAAGAGCTTCCCCCCCAGAACTGCCTCGACCTGGGACGGAGTCCACCCGAGGCATTTTCTCTTGCTCTCGCAAACGCAGGCGGATCTCATAGCTCGGCTCATCCTGGTCATCGAATGCCTGGGGTTTATGCCGTCGCAGCTGCAAGCTATCATTTCGGTCCTCATCATGAAGCACAAGCAACAGGACAAGTCAGCAACAAAGCCAGCTATGAGATCCATAGGAATGATGTCAGGCCTCTACCGCACGTGGGCGCGTATTCGGCAGTCAGCAGCTCGTGAATGGGAGAGGCATCACAGGCGACCCTTCCTCGCCCACCAAGCAGGACATTCCATAGTTGAGCTCGTTTTCAAGCAGAACCTGGATTGCGAAACGTATTCTAAGAAGAGCGAAGCTTTTGTGTCTGGTATGGTTCTGTATGATCTCAGTAACTACTACGAGCACGTCAATAGAAGCAAGTTAGCTAAGCGAGCCCTTAGAAGTGGTTTCCCCGCTACCCTCTTAAGGCTCATCATCAGCATATATTCCAGCCCCAGGTTCGTCGCCCTCCAGGATATGATCGTATATGTTGGGTGTACCAAGTATGGGCTAGCTGCTGGATGCGGGTTTGCTACTTACCTCATCCAGATGTACACCCTGGAACCCCTGGACTCCTGGACCCACCAGAATCCCTCCCTCGACCTTTTCATGTTCATAGATGACCTCCTTTTGAAGTCTCACAGCCAGAAGCCCAAGGTCGTGGTCAGCAGCCTCGACTTGGGCACCCGCCGTTTGCTCGCCAGTATCAAGCAGGATTTGGATTGCAGCATCTCGCCCGCCAAGACGCAGATGGTCGCCTCGACCCCGCAGCTCAGGTCTCTCTTGAAGAAAAAGCTTAAGGATCGTGCAGGCTCCAACGTGGATATCTCAGCCCCTAATCTTGGAGTGGAAACCGCCGCTGGTGCCCCCCAAAGCCGTTGGAGAAAGAACAGGCTGACCAGGACGAGGATGGATCAGATCAAGAGAAGGATGAGGAGGCTTGGAGCTATTCAGAAAGGAGGTGGAGACACGAGGAAGGTTTACAACACGGGGATTTTTGCAGCAACTTCTTTTGGACACGAAGTGACGGGCCTTAACAATTCGCAACTAGCTATTGCTCAGCAACAATATTTAAAGCTAGCGGGGCCCAGATGCGCCACTAGAAGCAGAACTTTAAGCTTAATCCTAGTGGGAGACCCCACCTGGAAGCTTGCCCTTGGACCCGCCATGCTTTGGCACATGCTCGTGTGGAGTGCCGCCACCAATTCGTGTCAAGCGCTGGCCTCGCTGAGAACCCTCAGGGTCCGCGGGGAAAGCCTCTTGGGCTCCACGCCCCAGAGGTGGGCGGCCGTGCGAGGCCCCTTCGGGGCCATGGTCCTGTCCCTCAAACGAATTGGGTGGAGTCTGGCCTCCCCTCTCGTTTTTGTGTCTCGCAGTGGCCTTCATTACCCCATGACCAGTTACTCCCCTGCGTTTGTACAGCAGCTCATGCAGGACGACTGGCTAGACATTTTGAGAGAAAAGGCAGCAAGCAAGCTTGGAGCTCCAGGAGCCAGGCTTGACCCTGTAGCTGCCCTTGCCGCTTTGAAAGATCCCTCGTTGTCGAAGCAGGAAAGAGGGTGCCTTTTGACTTTTCTCACCCAAGGCTGTTGGACTAAAGCTCGAGCCAAGGATGCAGGCTACCCAGTCGACCCCGCCTGCCTCTGCGGTGCTGAGTCGGATGACATCAAGCACCGCGTTTTCGGCTGTGATTTGACCAGGAATGAGCGGGAAGAAAGCTTTAGTCCTCATGAGCTCGAACTGTTGCAGTCTAGCAGCGAGGAGCCCTTGTTGCGGTTTGGTTTTCAGCGGGACCCTGAGTTTTCCGTGGGAGCCAGGCCAGGCCTCGGGATTGAGGATGTGGAATTTTGGTGCAAAGACCCTGATTTGTCTCTGCACGAGGCCTTCGAGGGCCAAGTCTACACAGACGGCAGTTGCGACAACTCTCTTCACCCTGCCTACCGATCGGCAGGATTCTCTGTAGTTGCCCTGAGAGAAGACGAACCTTTCGCCATCCTCACGGGTCAGGTAGGGCAGCAGTTCCGACAGACTTCAGGAGCTGCAGAGCAGTTAGCGATTCTTCTAGCTTGCCACGCCTCGCCGTTGATTACTCATGTGCACACGGATTATAAAGCCGCTATAGACCTCCATCTGGCCCCTCGTTTCTCTCGCAGGTCAACCATGAGCGGCTTCAAGGTCTTGGCAGGCGCGTGCTGCGTCCGCCCTAGCAGTTGCATATGTAAAGTTAAAGGCCACCAGAATCTAGAAGCCGAGTTTTCCTCCCCTGAAGAAAGGACCCACGCCCTCGGGAACGACGTTGCCGACAAGGCAGCGAAGCAGGCGGCCCAGAAGATGGCCCAGCCCAGCCGGTCCGAGGTCGAATCCCACGAGTTTCAAACACGCTTGCTCGGCAGATGTTTACGCTATCTGGCCAGAATCCTCCCCAAGTGGCCCGCCTTGGCTCCGAAGAGAGGCAAGAAGGGCCTTGAGGCTCCCACGAGTTCCAACCCCCCCATCGGAGCCGCGTCCGCTCCTCACGTCTGGGACCCTGGGGCCGCCCCCCCGCCTCCCTCGCCCCCTCCTCCGCCGCCTGTTGCTGTGTCGGAGGCTGCGGACGCGACTCACAATTGGGAGTATATAAGGGGTAAATGGTTATGCACCGTTTGCCGTGTGACGGCGAAGTCCAGTCAACATCAGATAGCCCGTCAGAATGAGAAGTGCCCAGGGTACTGTGCTGCTATGGCGAAGCTGGCCCAGGACCCGAAAAGGCACAACCTCCTTTGGCTAGAATACATAGACAATTCGTCCACCCTGATCATTTGTAAAGATTGCGGCTCTTACATGGAGCAAGGCAGGGGGCTTAATTCGGAGTGTCTACGTCGAGGGCCACAGAGTACAGGTGCCGCCGACCGTCTCTCTAAGGTTCTCAGTCTCAGACACCCGAAAGGGGGGAAGAATTCACCTGTGGTTTTCAAACCCCCTGTCCCCCTTGCCCAATTTTACCGCCAGACCCTCAGGGACCTGGCAGCAGCACCAAGCTCTGCTGCGGGGGCAGCCAATTCCCCCTGAAGAGTTTCGGAGGCCCAGGCCTCTGTCTCCGCGCTGGGGCGCGGTGGATCATAGACATCATCCCAAGCAGTGCGCTGGTCCTCCTCCTCCTCCT